TGGGAGGCTTGCAGGGTCAGGGCAGCCATTGGGGACAAGCATTATCAAGTGGCCCCTGCGGGGGTAGCTATATATGTATGTATAGTGCTGCATAATTTGATGCTACTATATATGGTACTAGAAAGGGAGGGATGTTGGCAACCCTGTTGTATTACCCTGCATGGATAAAGCACAGGATTGCTTTAAAGTGATAGTAAAGCTTTTGTTTTTTGTTTTTTTAATTAAAATAACAAACTTGTCATACAATGGTTTTGCACAGAGTAGCCCTGATCCTCCTCTTCTTGAGTCCCAGACAGAGGGGCTTGGCCCTGTTCCCTTGTCATAGAATTTGATTGACAACAGCAGGAGCCAATGGCCAGTCTGCTTAGTGAGGAGCTGGATGAGTCTCTGCTCTCGTACACAGCGCTGGATCATGATCGGCCTCAGGTAAGTTTAGCGGGGGAGGGGGAGGGGGGATCCTCTGTAACAGAAGGTTTTTTTACCTTACTGTAACAGAAGAGTTCTGACTCTCTCCCTCCCTCTTGGCTTTGGATCACTGTCCCCTTGTATTGACAACGATCAGTGGGTCAGACTCCAAAAAAAACCCACCCAAGACAAAGCCCGGGAAACCGTTAACCCTCGCCCTCCTGTCTGGGACAGCAACTAGTTAACCTCCCTGGCGGTATTCCCGAGTGTAGCTCGGGGTTAACTTTCAGAACCAAAAGCGGTAACCCTGAGCTACATTCAGGAATACCGTGCAGCATTGCTCAGGGATTCCCTGTTTCACTTACCTTGTCCTTCGCTTTCGGCGATGTCCCCCCTGCAGTGTCCCCGACCATCTCCTACAGCCGATGCCGGCATCCGTCTTCCATGTTCCGGTCCCTGCGATGTCGGGACGGAACTGGCGGGAAATTTAAAAATTTTAAAAAGTGACATTCACTAAATTCCCTAAAATCACATAGTAAAACATTGCTGTATCAAACCATTTCACATACATTTTGTCCCTAGTGCTTTGTCCTGTGCCCTGCCTGCATTTTTACTGTTCTTTCTGCCTGGAAACTGAAAAACATCCATGGCGTCCAAAAAGCGTCCCTTTAGGTCAAAAGCGGTTTTAGATCAGCTAGAGAACAGCGATAGTAAATCAGAACCACTTGCAGAATTGAGTGATAATGATTCGTGGGGAAATTCGTCATCAGACACTGAAAATGATTTTGCGACTTTGCTCAGTGATGTGCGAACTTGGCGCTATATTTCAAATTTCAGTGTTTTTTTGGTTTGATTATATTATTAAATGTATTATTATATTATTATTTTTTTTATGATTATTATATTATAATTTATGATTTTGTGTCTCAAATTTTTATCATACCTGGGATGTTTACTGGACTCTTGTTCAGACAGATTTTCAGTGAGTTATTCCTAAAAATTACAGGCCTACAATAAAAAACAGCATATTTCCATGCAAAAAAATGTTCCGCTTTGAGCACAGAAATATTAACATAATCAGACCGCTAGGGAGGTTAAACTACAAATAGGCAACCTGCCTACAAGCAATTATTTTTAATGTTTTATTTTTAAAGTGTTACTAAACCCACAACAGTAAAATCAGTCTGTGTATGCAGTAAAGCATGCTTGTTATACTCCTGTGGAACCTACGGGGTTAATCCTCTGCATTGTGTAAAAAGACTGTTTGATACTGTTTTCTCTGCCCCTCCTCCTGTCCACCTGATAAGACAGACTGAACCCGTAGCCACATACTCATGCTCAGTTTAGTGTGTATTGCTGCAGCGTTTTTTTTGTGGGGGGGAGTGCATGTGATCAACACAGGGCCAATCACCACTGTCCAGACAGAGGTAAGGGGTTCTGCATCCTCCTAGAGCAGAAAGAAAACTCCTACAAGGTTTAACCAGTGCTCTGCTGGACACTGATAGTAGTCACAAGACTGCTCTAACTTCTGATGAGAAAAGGTATTTAGCAGTTTATATTTACTAAATTAATTGCATTTCTTTGTTCTGTGTACTGTGGGAGAGCAGATAGAGTGAATGCAGGGTCCTGGGTTTAGTAACACTTTACGTTTGTTACATGTTCCATTCACATAACATAACTTAAAGTAGATGTTATCTCAACTTGGCTCTGAAAGCGCAAACACTTTTTAAGGGCCCGTGCAGACATGAATGCAGTACGAGAGAGCTGCATTTCCATGCAGCTTCCCTCACCACATTCCGATCGCAATGCCTCCGCGGCCTGCTGCGGGATTCGGTTAAAATGAATGAGATAAAACGGCACTGCACAGAACTACATGTGAATCGCACAGGAGGTGCACAGCATTCTTGTGCAATTCGCATGCAGTTCCTAGTGTGAATGTGCCCTAAATCTTTGCTTACATATTGGTGGTTCCCTACAGTAGAAGGCAGTTGTCTATCACGCTGCTGTGCAGTAGGTCTCATAAAAAATAGATGAGCTGCTCGAATTTTACTCCGTTGCTGTGAATTTTAAGTGTGATGGTCATAAGAGGGACCTCTGGGCAGCCATCACTGTCATGCAGTCTGTATGCTGCGCACCAATATTATGACTGCTTCATATTACATACGCCTAAAATATTGCCTGATTATGCAACAACCAGAATATAACTCATGCTGAGGCAGTGGGTAACCTTTACCAGCTAGCTCTCACATTAAATATACGTAACTGATTATGGGCATTAAACCTAATGGCATAAGGGGCATATAATATATCAAAAGGGCATGTATTATGTCATAGGGGCATATAATATATCTATCATAAGGGCATGTATTCTGTCATAAGGGCATGTATTATATCATAAGGGCATGTATTATATCATAAGGGCATGTATTCTGTCATAAGGGCATGTATTCTGTCATAAGGGCATGTATTATATCATAAGGGGCAAATATTATGTCATAAGGGGCATATATTCTATCATAAGGGCATGTATTATGTCATAAGGGCATATATCATTCGTTCTAGACATCACTTTCAGTGAATGAATCTGCTGAAACCAGTGGCTGAATAGCAGCCCTGTGTACAGAGACATGCAGTTTAATGGCCTCTGATATGACTTGTTCCATACATTTGAGATGGCTAATTGTGTATATAATAAAAGTATTGTGTGAGCAGATTTCACAGTGGCTGGTCCTATTTTCCGTTAAGTTATGGGACATGGTAGTGTCTGCAACCTATATAACTTTCCAGAGTAAAGCCTTGTTCACATACTTTAGAAATCCTATGATTGTTCTTGTCCAGCTTTGCATGGATTTTTCCTTTTGAATGTTCTGTACTTCAGACAAAAGTGAAGGTAAAACTTTTTTTTTTTTTTATTTTGGATAGATTTTAACAACAAATATCACAGCTGTTTTTTATTTTATTTTTCTAATAAAAAAAAATTAAACTGTGATTTGTGGCTTCTCTAGAATTTGAAACCCCAATCTGCTGTTTTTGAAGGAACAATCCATAACTTAAACCAGAGTGGTCAGTTTCGGAAGTGTCCGTTGTACTGCCTTACAGCGGTATTGAACACAAAACTAAAAATTTAACATATTGCAACTTACCAATCATTATATGTGATGGCTGCATTAGTTTTCTTTTTTTTTTTTTCTTTTTTTCCCTCTGTTTTCACCTGGTGGTCTGGCCAGTAACATATCTCCTGTATTAGAGTGCCTCCACCATGGATGAAGGAGCAACAGAGACTATTTTGGACAGTTGCTGCACATTTGTCGGCTGCCCATCCATGATGTGAATCTCCCGTTCCACCACATCCCAAAGGTTCTCTTTTAGATTGAGATCTGGTGACTGTGGAGGCTATTGGAGTACAGTGAACTCATTGTCATGTTCAAAAAAAGTTTGATATGATTTGAGCTGTGACATGGTGCATTATCCTGCTGGAATGAGCCATCAGAAGACTGGTACACTGTAGTCATAAAGGGATGGACATGGTCAGCAACAATACTTAGGTAGGCCATAGCCTTTGTACTAAGGGGCCCAAAGTGTGCCAAGAAAATGTCCCCAACAGCATTACACCACCAGCCTGACCGTTGACACAAGGCAAGATGGATCCGTATTTTCATGTTGTGTACGTCAAATTCTAACCCTACTATCTGAATGTCGCAGCTGAAATCGAGACTCCTCAGACCAGGCAATGTTTTTCCAATCTTCTGTTGTCCAATTTTGGTGAGCCTGTGTGAATTGTGGCCTCCATTTCCTGTTCTTAGATGGCAGGCATGGCACCTGGTGTGGTCTTCTGCTGCTGTAGCCCATCTGCTTCAAGGTTTGACGTGTTGTGCGTTCAGAGATGGTATTCTGCATACTTTGGTTGTAACGAGTGGTTATTTGAGTTACTGTTGCCTTTCTATCATCTCCTACCAGTCTGCCCATTCTCTTCTGACCTCTGACATCAACAAGGCATTTGCATCCACACAACTGTCGCTCACTGGATATTTTCTCTTTTTCGGACCATTCTCTGTAAACCCTACAGATGGTTGTGCGTGAAAATCTCAGTAGAGCCACACTTTTTGAAATACTCAGACCAGCCCTTCTGGTACCAACAACCATGCCATGTCATGTTTAAAGTCACTTAAATCCCCTTTCTTCCCCATTCTGATGTCAGGTTTGAACTTCAGCAAGTCGTTTTCACAGCGTCTAGATGTCTAAAAGCATTGAGTTGCTGCCATGTGATTGGCTGATTAGCAATTTGTGTTTCCAAGCAATTGAACCTTAAGCAGTGATGTGAACAGGTGTATATATATATATATATATATATATATAGCGCTGTATAAATCTTTTGCTACATAAGTACCTGTATTAAATAAATAATGTATGGTCTATCTGGTTGTACACAAGTCAATCTGTGATCTTCTAATGTACAACCAGCCTGTTGGGTTTTTCCCGAACGATCAGTGCCGTTGGCTATAGCTGGCAACACTGATCGTTGTATTTTGCCGGCGGGAAAGGGTCCCCGCTGTCAGAACACAATAGCTCAGGGGTGGGCAACTGTGGCCCTCCAGTTGTTGAAGAATTACAAGTCCCATGAGGCATTGCAAAACTGACAGTTACAAGCATGACTCCCAAAGGCAGAGGCATGATGGGACTTGTAGTTCACCAACAGCTGGAGGCCCACAGTTTCCCACCCCTGCAATAGCTCATTGAGAAGGATTCCCCCATCCACATCAAATATGCAAAAGGGAGGAATTGGCTCTTTTTCTTTTTTTGCTCAACCTGCTGGTTGAATGAGAATAATGAATCATGTATGGCGTCTGTATCTGATTGCTGGAACGGAAAACAAAATTTAACCTGGCCATACACCGAGGGAATTTTAGCCAACTCCTGCCCAATATCACATTATTGAAAAATCAAAGGAGCCAGGCAGAAAATGGCCAAACAGCACCTGCATTCAATCAGATGCCAGCACTGTTCGGGTTTCTTGACAGCTGGTGGGACTGTCCTAAAGCACCGAGATTGAATGCACACAGGCTAAATGGCTAGTGTGCATGTGGCCTTAAAGCGAAAGATCTTTTGCTGAGGAAATGGCAGTCAGGTTCTGAGCTGTGCGGTGTGAGGCCCTGCAGAATCATGTGACAGTTGCACCTCCGAGCAGAAGTGTTAAGAGAAGCCTGCTGAATCTGGCTGAAATGTTTTCTATGATGATGTCAAATTAAGATGACAATGTCTGACCTAAGATGATTCATTACATGTTCACTTTCTAATTTTACTTGTGCCTTGAGTGGTTCTTATAATCTAATTTTGCACATCTAAGATTGTGGTTGCGAAGGCGGTAAAAACACATTATGCTGCATTTTTACTGCCTCCTTCCCCCCAACCACTCTCCTTTAAGCTGCAAAGGTAGCAAAATTATGCCCTGCCAAACATGACCCATGTAACTGAAAGGTGCCACGGCGCAACTTCCCCCGCAACCACATGCCTTACATGCACATGTGGTGCATGGTTATAGGGGCTAAAAGAGGCAGTGAGGATGTGACCTCTCCTCCCCGCTTATCAAACCCCCCCCCTGAGAAGTGATGTACCACTGATCGCTCTTCAGAGGGCAAAGCAAATATGTAAGAACCCTTAGGGCTCATTCACACTTGACTTTATTTCTAACTCTTGCCAAACGCCCCTATAGCGTTAGACAGGCATTTGGGAAGCAATTTTAACGCTCCTAAAACGCTCCCAAAATGCCCTATGCGCTGTTTTGAGGTGGTTGCGTTAAAACCGCACCACAAACTCCTATAATGAAGTTAAATGGTATTAACGCTCCGCAAACGCCTCGCAACCGCAAAGCCGTTTGCAGAGCAGCACAATAGACTTGAATGAGAGGCTTCAACTCCTCCTGATTGGACACGAGGTGTCAGTTTTGACGCAATGCAAGGCGACGCTAAGGCTTCCATGTGAACAGCACTGTGTGCTGCCATGTGCAGAATTTTCATGGACGTTTCAGAAGCGTTAAAAACGCTTCCCAAACGCCTGTCTGATGCCTGCTGACAAAGCTAGTGTGAACGTAGCCTTACTCTTATGCCCCGTACACACTGTAAGAAAATCATCATACGAAAATTTTTGTACGAGGACCGATCGTCCGATAATCGGATCGTTGGTACACAGCTTTTGAGAGCTGATCACGACAATTCGTACGACAATATCTGAAGGGACAAGTGCAAAAATTTTTCTTGTACAATTCCAGATCGTACGATTTTCATTTAATCAGTACAGTAGTCGTCTGAAAATACAATGCAATACATGACATCACTTTCGAATATCTTTTCTTTCATAGGAGAATTTTCATATCTTTAGTAACCTTTTCACTTTCGATGTGAGACTAGCGGGCAAAAAAAAACGGCCGATCGTTTGTCCGATATTCTTATCGTGTGTACGGGGCATTAGATTGTAAGCTCCAAGGATCAGGCCCTCCTAACCCTCTTGTATTGAACTGTATTGTTTCTGTATTGTCCCCCGTTATATTGTAAAGTGCTGAGCAAACTGTTGGTGCTATATAAATCCTGTATAATAATACTACAGTCTGACCTTCATTATTTGCTGTTATCAGGATATTATTTTAACTTTTTCCATGGAAGTTTATGTCAACAGTGTATTCTCTGCAGTCTCTTTTTTTTTTTTCCCATATTTTTGATATCTTGTATTTCTTTTCACAGTGGTTTTGTAGTCACACTTCTGTTTGGGAAAATAAGCTCTGAAAAGTACCTTGAGAGGTGTGAGCACTCGTTTCTTCCTCCAACCTCAGCTGGAATCCCCCGGGTAAGTTCCATTACATTAAACACTGCTTGTTTTACATGCCATTGAACTCTGCCTTGGTGTATTCTTACTGTTTACCTTCACGTTCCCTGGAAAACAAGACACAGCTTTTCAATGTGGAAGGAGCCATCTCTCATATCTGTCCTATCAGCTTTCACCTATTAAGTTGGAGCTGTTGGATTTATTGATCTAAGGCAGTGTGAATAGCAATCCTGTGTTGGAACTCACAATATCCGTTTTATCAGCGTAGCACAGACCTAGATGGAAAGATAGTTACTAATACTTTGTGTGTTTTTACTGCATATTTAATACAAAGTGCAGCGCTGAATCCTAAATGTCATATATAAAATAATAATAAATATATAAATACGTGTTCTAAAAATCTGTGCAAATGTGCAAATAAAGTAAAGTGCAACACACGTGTTCCCACCGGGAATATTCAAAGTGTCAAAGTGATCACAGCAAATAATTCATCAAAATCACTCAAAATATAGATCACTCAAAATAAGTCCATATGTAAAATAGTGTCCAAAAAACTCAATCTTCATGCATGGTGATCACAGGTGTCCACACTGTGTGAATCCAAACAATGGCTACAGTGGCCCCTCACCTCCCACAGGGTCAGCTCGCCTTAGGATAAAACACCACTCTGATGTATCACCGGATCCTCCCCAGAGTCGTATACTCTGTCAGCAGCTTCCTCCCCAGTTCATATATAAACAGAAAACTTTCATAGTGTAAAACTGTATTTATTCAATCTATATATAATAAGAATGCCCACTCACATTTAGATCTTCAATATCAGGCCTATACCTCATGCTATGAATGCCTTGCATGGGTATTTTGATATAGGGGTTTCAAATATGGCCGCCACGCCGGAAATGACGTCACCGTGCTCCCAGAATCCTCCCCGCGTACCGACGCGTTGCGTCACGATAGACACGTGACTTCCTCAGGGTTCTGCATGGTTTACTGCATATTTGACTTTGCTTTTTGCCTCATTATAGCGATTCTGTAATGGGAGAAGTATAGTTCGCTTTTGAAAATGCAAGTTGCTTGGTTGCCTGGCTTTCCGTACTTTTAAGTCAGACCCAGAAGAAGGATACTGTAAACGTGTCAGAACCCGCAGACAATTCAGAAATTATTAAGGCTAGGTCCACACCTACGCAGGTTGTGTTTGAGTTGTTTTTGCTTTAGGTTGCGTTTTTGACATATTTTTGATGCTTTTTTTTAATGCGTTTTTGTGGGTTTTTTTTTTTTTTTTTCTTGTTGCTAGGCAGATTTAAACTGCAAGAATGAAATTCATGCTTTTCTGCAGCATTTCCGCTGAGGTCTATAGAAACAAAATGCAACTTTTTGCGTTTAAAAAAGTCCCTGACTCTTTCCAGAAAACGCACAGGTGTGAATGTGCCCCATAGGAAATCATTTTAAATGGACTGTAGTGTGTTTCTGCAAAACGCAGAACACTGCAGAAAACGCTTAGGAGTGAACCTGGGGTAAAGCCAAAGCTTTAGTATGACAGCTAGAGAACCAGCATCTTAGAGAGAAGAGGTCATTAATGGCAGTCACTAAACTCTCATGATGTGGTCACTTTAAAGTGACCCTAAACTCCTGGTTTTCAAAAAAAAAAAATTCTACTCAGATATGTATTCCTAAAAGGGTAGATAAAAATCAATGATTTTTTTTTTGTTTTAAATCGGATTTTTTTTGATTTAAATCAAATTTATTTTAATAAAACGCTTTTGGAGTAAAAATCTATCTAAAAATAGTATTCTTTTTAAGATCCATTGATAATTTAGTTTATTCAGCATGAAATGGAACTTAATTATGTAGCATGAGGCTGTATATTCTGCAATATTTACATTCTTAGTAAACTCATTCAATGAATCCGAGCTCTGCAAGCTGAGATAAGATGCACTGCATTGATGCATTCACACAATATCACAGTAACCATGAGAAAGAACATGAAATAAAAGAATTTGAGTAGTTCAACTATTTGTGATTAACCTAAAATCGGTTCTGCTATCACTGTTTTACTAACCTAACAGCTTATTCTAGAAGGGAAACCTTCATTTGGTTTGCAAATATTAACACCTTGTTGTGTCACTGTGGCATCACCTGCCATCCCATTAAAGTGAATGGGACTGTCAGTGAGTCAAAAGTGGGTCAAAGGAGGGGCTGCTGCAGGACAGAGATGACAGGTGCTCTTTAAAAAAATATGATTTAAATCGAGCCTTTTCACTAGAGATTTAAATCAAATCCACTCTGATTCCTAACTTAGAAAGTACCTTCTCTTGCTTTTAGCCTCCTCTGAATCTCCAAATTAGCCTTTTTACTTTTGTGACTTGACTCGCTGTTACAGTTTCAGGATTTCTTGTTCCTAAAATGGACTAGGGACTATGGACTATGGGATTTGTAGTGTGTATATGGCAGTGCACGTCCACAACTAGTGTGCACTGCTCTTTTCAAAGAAATGGAAGTGAGAGGGAAAAGAAGAGGTTCAGAAGCTCACAGAAGATGTTGCAAGGAGTCAGAAAAGACGAAAAAGAAAATAAATGATTTAATGAAAAATAGGGTACAAGCTCAATAAGTAGTGTATATATATATATATATAGAGATTATTTTTGGAGACTATAAATATTTAGTGTCAATTTAAAGTGGCATTAAACCCAAATATTGCAGCTTATCATTTCTTAGACATGATGGCAGCATTCACTTTCTCTTTTAGGCTTTCTTTCTTCTGTTTTCACCTGGTGATCCAGTTAGTAAGTCTATTGTTTTTCAAAAGAACAAGCTCTCTAGCAGAATGTATCAGTTACAGGGATGATACAAACAATTTAATACTGATAGGGGTGTTTACAATGATCAGCTTTTATTTATGTAAAATCTT